GGGGGGGTATTAACAAAAAGTAGAACAAGGGAAAAATGTTGGCAAAAATGGACTTTTCTTAAAACTCACTTGTCTCCGACAGCATACAGAACCGCCAAAGTCCCGTCCAGAAGTGTAGCACGAAAGCGTGCATCGTGGCGTTGGCAGGGGGCGCGTCTTCTCCTTCCAGGGGCTCTATCATCAGGGACTCCTTTGTGGTCAGCCAGGAGTCGGTGGAGACGGCCAGGGCGAAGAGAGCCACCGCCCCCGCCCCCAACACAAAGGAGAGGACTGTGAGCTTATACACGCTGCAATAGTTCATGCTGTACCGCAGCCGATCGCACATCAGTGTACCCATCACAGACTGGCATGCTGCAGCTTGGCTTGAGGTTTGGGTATGGTTATGATCCCGGGAAGCAGAGTATGGGTATGGTTATGATTTATCCAGGGAAGCAGAGTATGGGTATGGTTATGATTTATCCCGGGAAACAGAGTATAGGTATAGTATAGTTTTGGTCCCTGAAGGCCGAGAATGTCTCTGAGTGTTCTTGAAGGCGGTTGGACGGCGCAACTGGTAGTTACCTCTTCTGTGCTTTCCTTCTGTTGTTTCTGTCTGTCTTGCCTTTTTCCCACTGTTCTGTGTGACTGGGCTTTTGTGTCGATGTGCTTCCCTTTACTCAAAGTCAGACTCGAACTTAGATGAGCGTTTCTTAGGTCTGCTGCTTGCTGGGGTAAAAGCAGTTATAAAGCGGATAAATCTGACTGTAGAGCATGGAAATGGTCTGTGTAAATGTACATAAAAGTAATTATTCTTATATTGAGCACGCTTTTGACCACGATTAAGAGATCGATATAGCAAAAGAGTACGTGCACGCATTTTTATTTCCGTCTTCGACAAAGTGTGGATTCATGAAAGCCAATGTCACAGTTTGCTCACTTTAATTTTGTGTAAGATTATTCTGTAAGGATTGAATTGGGGATTCCAAGATGTAGATGGCGGGCGCGTTTTGGGACTACACCACCCCAGCCTGAGTCTCCGAGTCCACAATGTTAAGCTCATCTATCGCCTCGGCGTCCTTTACAGAATTATGGGCTCCCTTTCAAGCAGACATAGTCACATTTTTTCGCCATCATGGTCTTCCGATTTGCGAAGATATGGGCAAAACACTAAACAGCCATCTCCCGTAGAGTCATCTTTTGTGCGAGTATAACCTACGAAGAAAAGAGAAAGATATCCAGATCATTATAGTACCAGATCTGAAACAGACATCGGTGGTCATGGATCTCCATTCATTTCTCCCCTCGGATTCTCCAAAAAATCCTACATTATCCCGGTGTTTCCCTGTCGCCGGGATCCGAATATCCTCATAAATTTATGTGTGTCCTTTGAATTAATTTTTAATATTCTATGTTCGACCTAGATTGTCTCTTTTATAAGAAGAGGAGGGGGCTGCTGGTGAGGGGTCTTGAATTGGGGAGGGATGTGGGATGAGGGGATATAATGGCACACGATTTAGAGGGTTTAAGTGTTGGGGGTATGGGGTACATGAGCAAACAAGGTGCGAAGAGTGCCATGAAACTTCCAAAGTAAGAAAACAAGATGTTCCGTTGGGGATTCCAGCCGATTCCATCAACACCGTAGGTCAGCGTGAAAGAAGCTGAGCAAACGACGTTCATTATTCCCACATGGCAGCGAACGTCAGCAAGTTGCGGTAAATAGATTTGCTGCTGTATTTTGATATCATATACAGCCACAGCGTTACGATGAACTACAAGAGGTCGACGAACTACCGAACTTAACCTTTGAAACAAGCTTCGGTACTTTTATAATTTTTCTTGTTGTGTCTTATGGGCTTTAGTAGGGTTATTTCCCTCTTAGTTGAGCCTTTTAGTGATTTCATTGACGAAATAATGTTAAGTATACAGTCTAACTGGGTCGGATAACTGAGAGAAAATGGAGCACGGACCGAACGACTATTTTGTTTAATACATTACACTGATACTCTAAATGAAAGATCTGTCACATTAACCCTCTCACTGCTAGGTTCTCTCCCCAATTCTACCAAACAGGTAGAGACAGCCTTGGGCTAAGCGCTAACGGAGTTAAAACGTTAAAAAAATATGCATTAGTTAGAAATTATTTACTTTTTCACTTTTTCTTTCTCTGGTATCCCTAGGATGTCGAAGAGAGGTGCATGTTTCGGTGCTGTGCTAAGCGTAAGGCCAAAGTGATAGATATGGCATGTTGTTCCAGGACCATTAAATTTCGCCTTATACAATCAGGTCTTTTCTAGAAGTTATGAAATTTATAAATCATTTTCAATTGCTAGCACTGTAGAGTTCACTCAAATGAATAAATCATTTTGGTGACCAAGTCTAGAGACAGCTACACACACACACACATCTTTCAAGTTTATTTTTTTCCGTCGTGCATGGTGGCATGGCGGCAGGCCAGGTGAAATGACTTGCACGGTCGTATCTAGGCCACAGGTCGAAGTTTAACGACCTCTCGTCTAGCTCGACAAGAGCGTACTGTCACCATCTTCACGCAATTCAGATAAATGAGTACCAGTTCCATAAACTACATAATAAGGAGTCTGGATGCTCTTTAACTAACTCCCCGGGCATCCATGCCAAGACCCTGGAAATGGCTTTGGGATTTTTGCATTATTATAACTCGACCCATTTATGTAAGGTCAGCCCCATTTTCAACAAAATTATCATCTCTTATACAGTAATTATTGTTCCTAAGCAGGTGTATCTAGTATTCAGCACTCTTATAGCAGTATTGAAATGCTGAAGTACAAGATTTTCTGTTGAAATGCAATTCTTTTTGCCGGATTTGTTGTTTAAAAAAAATACTTATTTACTCCC